TATAGATGAACCTTAATCTGAATTAAACTATATTTTTTATCATAGGAATGACATCAGAGTTATTGATGGATTGCGGAGCTCTGGTCAGGGACCGGTCAGCCCAGAGCAGGCTATGCAGATCTGTAGTCAGGTAGATAGTATGTGTTATAGCCTACTAGCTTGGGAACACAGCTTTGCCTGGATACTTAACATTCTCTGTAACAGTCAACTCATTATTCAGAGTCTTTTAACTAAGAACATTCCCGTGGTTCTATCGAGTTCCTCAAACAAAATCTGAGGCAAATTGGTCTTTTCACCCCCCGAACAAAGACTTAAGCTTTAGCTTTAACTAAACGCGGTTTTATTTTTAATTGATCTGATTTTTTTACGATTCACTTAGAGTCTTTTGTATTTCGTATAAACTGGTTTTAATCTATCAAAAAAGTTTGAAATTAGGGAAAAAAAACTTGCAATTTAAGGACCAAATATTTTAGTTTATTCCCACACTCTCTCAAACAACTTTTCCCCTGGAAAATTTTACTATATTGTTTGACTTCTGTCACTTGTTCAGGTTGGGATTGGTATCTATATTGATACTAGTGCTGGGGAGGGTCTCAAGGAGGTCGTAGAGGCCTTTGACATGGCCGCAGTACTCACCCTGGAGCACAGAGAGCTCAGGTAGGACAATATGTTGGGACATGTTGGAGTCTTGACTTTTGAACATGTAGCCTTGAATATGTAGTCTTGAACATGTAGTCTTGGACACGTAGTCTTGAACATGTAGTCTTGAATATATAGTCTTGAACATGTAGTCTTGAACATAAGGTTTTGAACATGTAGTCTTGGACAAAGACGTTTTGTAGTCTTCGAAAATTACATGTCTTGAACAATGACATGTTGTAGTCTTGGACAATGGACATGTTGTAGTCTTGGACAAAGACATGTTGTAATCTTGGACAATGGACATGTTGTAGTCTTGGACAATGGACATGTACTAGTCTTGAGCAATGACATTTTGTAGTCTTGAACATGATGGTGTGAAATTTTTGAGGCATGCTTTTTGGCATTTTGAAAAAATGCGTTTTTAGTATTTTTATTTTTTATTTTTATATTTCTAGGATGGGACAAGATGACCGGATAATAGTACGACCTGGGAGTTCGGCCAGTGACCGACTTCCGCTTGGAACTGGTCGAATCCAACGCCCTTCCGGCAGCCGGCCGGGCAGTACTACGGGCCGACCAGGATCGGCGGCCAGCTGTGGCGCTGCAAGCAGCGCAAGCCATGGGTAAAATATAAAATTGACAACTGTGTTTCTATACATGTGAGGGTTCATGCAGTTTGTGAGCAATCTTAATGAAATTTTACAAATAGGCAGAATTTGTGAAAAAATGGATCTTAATCCGGATCTACGTCAGGAACATTTCTTGAGATTTCATGATTTTTGGAACAGATGAAAATTTTCCCATAAATTTTATGCAAACACTCCATGAACCATTTAAAAGAAATAATCGCTCATCAGTTAACACTGGAAATTTGTGTTTTGAGAGTAATAAGTGTTTGCAGGTTTTGGTTGGTATTGTGCCCCTTGGATCGGATCTGTGGATCCGGATCCGGGAAGCCAGAATGTTGCAAATCCCAAGCATTGTGTTTAAGTGATTAAGATTAGTTATTTGTTCTGTTTTAGATCTCGAGTTCTGATTCCTGGAAATTCTCGTGAATTTCATGGTTCATTTTCTAATCTTCCAGGTAAGGGACCTTTCATGTTTTAGATTAGATTAGACTAGACTAGATTAGACTAGACTAGACTAGACTAGACTAGACTAGACTAGGCTGGACTAGACTAGACTAGGCTGGACTAGGCTAGACTAGACTAGACTAGACTAGACTAGACTAGACTAGACTAGACTAGACTAGACTAGACTAGACTAGACTAGACTAGAATCCAATGGAAACACAAATATTTCTGAGAACTATTTTTGTATCAACCGCTGGAATTACAAATAATACTCTTACCCAATCATACGCTAAAAATACAAGTGATTTTTGTCTTAAACCGCTGCAAACACACATTTTATTAGCAAACAAATAATTTATAAATGTAAAAAACTCAGCGGTTGATAAAAAAATCTTCCGTTAGTGTGAAGCCACCGCGATTGAAGGCTAAAGTATTCACCAAAAAAGTACAATTTCAGCGGAAAATCCAATTTTTAATAAGAGTAGAAAAAATTCGCATTTCTTTTTCTAAACTTTGTCGTGGCGGAGTTTTATTCTCTCTAAATTTATATAATTTGTTTATTCTTATAATTTGTTTCAGTTGGTTCGTTAACCTTGGATCCACTACCTCCCTTAGATCTTATTCATAAATCAGGTCAATATACCAGGATAATCCAGGACAAACCAGGACAAACCAGGACATACCAGGTCAAACCAGGACAAACCAGGACAAACCAGGTCAAACCTGGACAAACCAAGTCAAGCCAGGTCAATATACCAGGATAAATGAGGACAAATCAGGTAAATATACCAGGATAAACCAGGACAAACAAGGACAAACCAGGTCAATATACCAGGATAAACCAGGAAAAACCAGGTCAATATACTAGGATAAACCAGGACAAACCAGGTCAATATAATCTAACAGTCGTCTTCCAATTTTACAGTTATATGGTCCCACTGTATCTCACATTAATAAAAACAAATTAATGAATGTATCTGCATGAGGCATTTTCATTTCAAATTGTGTATTTTTTTATCTCTGTTTTTCCTCAATGTTATATTCTTTGGAGAAAAGCGGGTAATAAATAGCTTAGACTCTTTGCAGTTCAGAATAAGAAATTAAAAATGAATTGATATTAAAATTTATGTCGTCTTCCAATAGAAACACAAATATTTCTGAAAACTATTATTGTTTCAACCGCTGGAATTACAAATAATACTCTTTCTCCTTCATACGCTAAAAATACAAGTGATTTTATTACTGTCGTATTCCTTTAACTTTTTTGTTTTTAACCGCTGCAAACACACATTTTTTTTAGCAAACAAATGATTTAAAATGTAAAAAGCCAGCGGAGATTTGTTATTTATATAATTTGTTTATTCTAATAATTTCTTGCAGTTGGTTCGTTAACCTTGGATCCCCTACTTCCCTTAGATCTTATTCACAAATCAGGTCAATATTCCAGGATAAACCAGGTCAATATACTAGGATAAACCAGGACAAACCAGGTCAATATAACAGGATAAACCAGGTCAATATACCAGGACAAACCAGGACAAACCAGGTCAATGTACTAGGATAAACCAGGGCAAACCAGGTCAATATACCAGGATAAACCAGGACAAACCAGGACCAACATGATCAACATGACCTACATGATCAACATGATCAACATGATTTTCATGACCAATAGGACCAAAGGGAAAATAGAACAAACAGAATAGTTTATTTATTCAAAAGCCTTGGTCCAACAACTAAAATTAATTGATTTGATTGATAAAATGATAAAAAAAATTATTTTTAAGATTTGATTGATAAATTGGTTAATTGATTGAATGATAGATTAATTGATTGATTGATTGATTGATTGATTGATTGATTGATGGTTTTAGGTCCTATGCACAAACAGAGCAGATCCCTTGACTCTCCAGCAGGTAGAATTGGATTTGTATGGGTGTTTTTTCCTAAATTAGGAGCAATTGTTTTCCTAAATTAGGGGCAATTGTTTTCCTAAATTAGGGCAATTGTTTTCCTAAATTAGGGGCAATTGTTTTCCTAAATTAGGGCCATTTGTCTTCCTAAATTAGGGTCAATTGTTTTCCTAAATCGGGGCAATTGTTTTTCTAAATTGGGGTATTTGTTTTCCTAAATTAGGGGCATTTGTTTTCCTAAATTAAGGACAATTGTTTTCCTAAATAAGGGGCAATTGTTTTGCCTAAATAAGAGGCAATTGTTTTCCTAAATTAGGGGCAATTGTTTTCCTAAATTAGGGGNAGGGTGTCCTAGGTGTGGGGACCGTGTGGGGATTGGGGAAAAATGTGGATAAATAAAACTTTAACTTTCAAGCTAGTTGTTTTATGTTAACCCTACTTTTGATAATTCATACTTTTCTGGAATTAATTTTTAGTCTTTATACACTAAATCCTGAAATTATGGTTAACATCTAGCTGGATGTTAAATATTCATGAAAAATATTTTTATTTTTTGAAAACTCATTTCCCCCACCCATCTTTGAAAATAATGTTTCCCCTCATACGTTGTTTTGGTTTAGGGTTCAGATTGTTATTCGCTAATTTTGGGGAAAAAATTTGTAAGTGCACAGTATCAAATAAGATAAAAATAAATTGCCTTCTGATGTTTTTGCCTTTTTGGGCCGATGCAAAATTAATTCCCCCTGAAAAATATACCCCATTGAGGTTTCTTATTTTTAATGCCACTATACACTACGAGTGGAATTAAAGAGTACGTTTGAGTGAAATGTTTCCAAGGATGTATTTGTTCTTTTTTGAACCACGTTACGTTTACCCTTTAAGAAAGCAAAAATCAAATACTTTTGAATTTTGGATCATAATCATAATGTTTTTTAAGCTTAAACCCCCCTCCCCCATTTTCCTTTCTACGATTGTGACATTTTTGTATGTTTTTATTGTTTAAGGAGAAACAATTCATGAAGAGGAAATGATGGATTCTCCCGGAGCACATTTGACGCGTTCTGTTCACAAACACGCAACCTCCCCGGTCCATTCTCCTCTGGGTCATGCGCAGTTCAGGTACAACTGTACAACTGTACAGCTTTACATCTGAACAACGGTACACTAAACAACTGCACAACTTAACACCTGCATTGTGTCAATCCTTACCAGCTTAACAGCTGTACAACTTTACAGTGTACAACTGTACAACTTTACAGTGTACAACTGTACAACTTTACAGTGTACAACTGTACAACTTTACAGTGTACAACTGTACAACTGTACAACTTTACAGTGTACAACTTTACAACTGTACAGCTTTAAAATTGTACAACTTAACACCTGCATTGCGTCAATCCTTAACAGCTTAACAACTGTACAACTGTGCAAGACGTCAAATTATGCATATAAATATAATAAATAAATATAATATAATAGAAATATAAATTATTATTAAAATAAATAAATATAATACCGCATAACTACGTAGATTGTGTGGCATTTTGCTTTTAACATTATATCAAAACAACAAGTAGCGTGGGATATTTTAAATGATCATTAACGGCCATTAACGGCTAGTCCAGCTAAAATTGATACCAGTATATTCTTACTAGAAGTTGAATTGCTCCCCCTCCCTGTCATTATTGTCCTTGTCCAAAATTTCCTTCCTGTAGGCGTAGGATAAATATTTTTTCAACTTTTTATCGCAAACTAGCTATTTTGCCACTAAATACTTTTTTCCCCTTCTTATTGTTTTTTTTTCTTACTTTTTTCTTGAACTTTCTTCCCTGGGCTGAATTCTTTAATAATAATAATACCCCTCTGAGAGGGGGGATGTAAGACTATACTCCCTATATTGATACTTGATGCTGGATGATTAATTGATTTATGATCAGATTCTAATAAGTTGAGATGTATTTATCTATAAATCTATTATGAGTTCCTGCTCTTCCCACCAACCTTTATTGAACTATACCTAAATGAAACACAAAAACCCTTTCACCATTTCACCTGTTTCTTGTCTATATTTTTAATTTTTATTATCTTTCTAATTTTGTATTTAGATCTCTCTCCCCCTCTTCTCTTCCCTCCTCTCCTTTGAAGGCACCTCTTCGTCCCTCTCTCACCAACCAATCATCAAACCTATCGGAGAAGGTCCCTCAGAACCTAGGGTCCCTGGAGAAGAGTAGTTTAGGATCTCGAGCTCCTTGTGTCCCCCTTAGATCTACACAAAGTCAACAGTTTTCCACAATACAAGAGCCTTTACACTCAAGGTAACAGAGGTTTTAGAAAAAGTTTTTTAGTTTAAAAGTTTGCCGCCAAATGGATTTATCTGATCATATGTTTTTATAACTATTCTTTACAGATCCTTTTCCCAGCCTGTCTCCTCACTACAGCAGGCGATAAACTTCACTAACAGGTTGGAACAGCTGGCCATGGAGGAGGACAATCCCGGCAGCACTCCCCCCGCTATAACCGCAAAATCCGCCGAGCTGGGTTTTTGGCGGGAAAATACTAATTCTAAAAATCAAATTTCCCGCCAAATTTCTAGTGTTTCCCAGCAGTTTGGTGAGCTAGCACAGACCAACTCTTCTGATCTTGACCTTAGAAACAAACCTCCGGAGCGTAACTCGCAAAAGATGACCTTTCGAGCGAGTTTACCGGTGGGTCGACCTCCTCTACCTGTTCCTCCACTTCCTAAATCTCCTTCTGATCTCAACCAAGGGAGGACGACCTCAACCTCCTCACCGATAACCCAGGAACCTTTACCCAGACGACTAGCTCATCTAGGTAAATATAGCATATTTTTCCCCTCTCCACCTCGGTTTTTTCAGTTTGTTTTTTAGGTTTTTTATTGAATGGGGGAAAAAAAATAAAAAGTATCAGAATGGAAAAAAAACTTGCCAGTTGAATCTTTGGAAATAATATTTTTAAAAATAAATTTGTAAATGTAAATTATCTTTTATTCAGGATTAGCTGAGGGTAAAAATTATGAAAGTTTGAAGTCTCACACAAGTACAATATCTCATGGAAGCACTGGGAGTAAACTATCAACCGCTAGCAGTTTATCAGGTATGTCGTCTTCAAGAAAATCAGCCATTTTTGAAAATTTTCAATTTTTCTTTTTATGAACAACATGTTTTAGGTCACGCTACGCAGTTCTACACGGGTCCTAGAGATTTTGATATACCAGGTGGGGGACTTCTTTACAATTGTTTTTTTTTAATGAGTTGCTTTTTTTCTGTACAATTTTTCTTACATTTACGATAAGTTTTGAATTGATTTAATTCTGATTATTGAGAAATAGGAACACCGTACAATTCAAATTAACCAAAACATAAAGATGTAAACGTACCGTAAATGTTCTTACATTCATATTTTAAAAATCTGTTTATCTTTCTATCTATTTATAAACTTATCAATTTCAATATTTCAATTTCAATATCTCCCTTTTTCTCTTTTTCTCTCTTTTTCTCTCTCACAATCTCACTCTCTATCGATATATCGACTAATCATTTATCTATCTATATATCCATCTATCTATCTACAGATACGGAGGATCCTGAGCTCTTAAAGAATCTTGATTTTGTATCCCCTAAGGCTGGAGTGTATAGACCAGTGAATCCAGGCAAAAGTAAGTTGTAAGATTTTACCACTAGATGTCGTTGAAAGCTGTTTATTAACTATGGTTATTGATAGTTATCAAATTTTAAAATGTGATAAAAAAGTTGATAAAGAGAACGAATTTACTAATTATGGAGGTATGAATTAATGGAAGTGACAAAATGAAAAACGTAAAAATTGATTATTAAAGCAAGAATTGATAATTATTTAATATGGAATAATCAATCGATTTGTTTAATTAGTTGTTGGTTCATTGTTTAATTGACTTGTTGGTTTTCTTGGCTTGGTTAATTGATTGATTGATGATAAATTGATAAATTGGTTGATGATTAATTAATTGATGATGGATTGATGATTGAATGGTTAATTAATATTTAATAATGATTGATTGATTAAAGTATAAATTGATTAATTGATTGACTGATTGATTGATTGATGGATGATTGAATGGTTAATTGATATTTAATAATAATTATTTGAATGATTGATGGATTGCTGGATTGATGAATTGATTTATGTATTGATTGATTGATTGATTGATTGACTGACTTATTGGTTTTCGAACTCATTGATTGCCATACTTAATTGATTGAATGATTGATGATTGATTTTTTTTTTTATTTCTGAGAGCTAATTCTCCAACTTTCATCTAGGAATGTTGAGAATATCTTGATTTCTTCATGTGTGGTCTGCTATAGATCAGATGTTTTTCTCAAATAAGCAGCTACTACATTCTCAATGATTCTTATCATACACTTGTTTAAATTGTAGGGTATTTTTTGCATGTTAACATCATGGGGTAAAGTATTCCATAGGTCAATAACTCTGTGAGAGAAAATATTCTTCCTAATCTCTAGTCTAGCAACAGGTTTAGCAAGATTAATACTATCTTGATTTAATCTTGTGACCGTCTCTCTTTCACCAACAAATTTAAACCAAGTATTCTTGTCAACATTGTCAAATCCATTGCAATCTTGAAAGCTTGAATCATTTCTGCTCATGTGTTTGTAGATTTAGCTTTTTAAGTTTTTCTTCATAGGATGATGATGACTGATGACTGATGATTGATGACTGATGATTGATGACTGATGACTGATGACTGATGACTGATGACTAATGACTAATGACTGATGACCGATGACCGATGACCGATGACCGATGACTGATGACTGATGACTGATGACTGATGACCGATGACCGATGACCGATGACTCATGACTCATGATATATTGATTGATGATTTATGATTGATGATTTTTGATTAATTGATTGATTGATTAATAAATTTTACGTTTTTTCAGGACTAATGGAGAACGTAATCAGCGTATCAAAGAGCTATCAACCTGTTTCTTCAGATAATTTATACTATAACTGATAACCGGGAGATCAGTGTTGCATCCTGAACTAATCTGAGCTGATTTACTATATGTGCAATTATCAGCCTGAATCAGCGGGATAAATACTTTTGCTGATTAATCAAAATTTTATCTGTTTTATTTCGCCTACTTTTGCTGATTTTTATTTAAGCTAATGAAATTAGAAAAAAATGATCTAATATTTAAGAGAAAAACATAACAAATATTTCTTTCGTTTTTATAAACTTAGATTCAGCAAAGAAAAGTAGAAAATTTAAAGGAATGTGTCTTTAGAGTTTACACAATTTCATCATTAAACATTATATGTACATCTTTGATTTTTATTTGTTGAATAGTCAGAGCTGGGAACTTTCGAATACCGACTGCTTAATCCGAATATCCAATGTTTAATTGTTGTTTAAACCACTCTTTTTTGGATATAGTACAGAAAAATTTAAAACCGGGTTTTTCAAAATTAGAGAGTCTGTATATTAACCTTAAATTAACTCTGATTGGTTGAATTTTATTCACTTTTCAAGTACAAGATTAGGTTAGTCTCGATATTAAGAAAAAGAGAGGATAAAGCATTGATCTCGATATCCACCATTCAAAAGTTCGCAGCTCTGATAATATAAATATAATATCTGTTAAAGACTGTTTTATGTAAATTTTTCAATAGTCTGTAATCTCCATGATAATCTTATTCAGATCTCTGGAGAAAAATTTAAAAATTAAAAATTAGTTTTTGTTTTTTCATTTTCTCCTAGTTGTTTAGCCAATTTTTTTCAAGCTGTTCAATAATTTTGATAAAACAAATTGTAATTAATGCTGTTTTATGTCTTTCTTGAGCTGGGGGTGGATAATTTTTCATTGTTTTTAACAAATCCAGTTGAATTTTGTCATTTTTTTTTAACCTAGATCGATTTTTGCTTAATTCATAGATTTTCTAGTTGTTTGTTTATGATCTAATTTCAACAAATAATAAAATTCTGAATCCCCTAAATTAATTTTGAATGTAATAAACCTGAAAATTGATTTTAAATCGATTTTGAATTTAGTTTAAAATCAGGAATTTTTTTCTTTTTTTCTCTTTTTGAAGTTGCTAGTACATTTGGCTTAAATCAATTTTGAAGTTCCAACTATTATTATCAACGCAATTTATACTCTTTTTTACTAAAGAAATGAAAGCTTATTCATCCCCTGATCCTTCAAATACTCGGGTTTATAATTTTGATAAAATATGTTTGAACATCATTTAATCCACTATTATATATTACTTTCCAATATTCTGTTTCCAGTCAATTAAAAAAAGTGAACTGTACTATAGTTGTACATTGTACACTGTACACTGTAAACTGTACACTGTACACCTAATTGGTATTGCGAAATTTGTGTAAAATCTATTAAAAATACCCTACAGTACAGTATAGATTGTTGATATATTGTCGATTATTTATCTTTTGTAGTTTAAAAAAAAATGATTGAAATATTTGAGAAGGAAACTTATTTCGAACTTTAACTTATACTTAATCCTACTCTTACTTTACATATTGCTAAGCCTGAGCTGAGAACTTTTGAATGGGATACCTTTAATCCCGACTGCTTAATCCGAATATCCAATGTGGACACTTTCGATTTCTTGCTTAATCCACTCTTCTTTGGACATAGTACAGAAAATTCAAAAACCGATTTTTCAAAATTAGAGAGTCTCTCCCGTTTCTGTATATTAATCTTAAATGGCTCGCCAAAATTCAAATTTCCCGGCTTCTGATTCGCGACTCTGGTTGGTTGTTTTTATACACTTTTTAGGATACAAATACAAGATTAGGTTAGTCTCGAGATTAAGAAAAAGAGAGGATCAAGCATTAATCTCGATATCCACCATTCTAAAGTCACCAGCTCTGACAGGCTAGATTTGGGGCTTAATTTACTTCAGTATTATTGCACAATGTACATGAGCAGTTGATTGAGCAACTCGTTCAGCAAATGCAGATTAAATATATGGTCAAAATTATGCAAATATATTTGCATTTGCTGTTTATATATATATTTAAAGTAAAATTGTAATCTAGATGAATTTTGGTAAAAATAATGGATTTTTGATGATGTTTTATGTTTTATTGTTGAGAATATTAATATTGAATATTTATTATGAATCCAAGTTAAAAATTTATTGTAAATATTTTAATCAGTCTAAAAGTTAAAAATCAAATTATCTAGTACTAGTCTTCAATTTTTTTAAAAGAAAAATTCATAATTCCAATTTTACTTTGTACACTGTACAGCAAACGTAAAAATCCACAAAATAATAATCCTAAAATATTGTCTTCATTCGGAGGTTATTAAATACCAATCTGCCCTTTTTGTCAAAATTTGTTGATGTTAAATTTTGACCACCCCCGCCCTTTCCATTAATTTACTTAATTAAACTGATGTTTGAGGTAATAAAAATATTTAAAATTAATAAGTGTAATTACTATTTTTCAAAGAAAATGGAAAAATGTGCTCGAGAAAAGCAGAAGAAATTAGCGGATTAACAAGTACCCAGATTAGCGGAATATTTTGACTCAAATAAACGGAAAGCCTTAACCCCCTGAAATCTGAAAACTATATTGTTACAAACGAAAATCGGAAGCACATAAACACAATTTTTATTCAGAGTTACAAATAGACTAATAGTTAAACAAATTTCAGCAAATAATTGATTTGGTTAAACTGTTATAAATAGTATGTAGTGAAGCGCTGTGATTAAGAGAATAAAACTGTGATATAATAAAACTGTGACGTTAGAGCAACTGTGATTCAAGCCGTGGCATTTAGAAACAATAGCATTAAAAATCAAAATGATGAAATATCTTAACAAAATGTCACCATTTCTACTGCATTTGATGGTTATATATTCAGGTAAAGAAAAAGAAAAATTGAAAAGTTATAAAAAATTCTAAATACAAGCGCGTTTCTGTTTTCATTTGTACTGTTTATACATTCATATATCGTCATAATTAATTTTTATGGCTAAACTTGTTTACTAGCACCTAAAATACTCAATACTTACTTGATACTTGAGAAGTAATTCTCCATCTCCCAAATAGCAATGTTGAGAATATCTTGATTTTTTCATGTGTGGTCTGCTATAGATCAGATGTACTAAGTCTTCAATTTTTCTCAAATAAGAAGCCACTCCATTCTCAATTGTTTAAAATGAATTGTATTTTTTCCATGTTTAACATCATGGGGTAAAATAACTTTGAACAAAACAAGAAAAGGATAAAATAGAGAAAGGATAGATTAATTATTGATCCGACATTGTTAACCATGGATAAAATAGCGAAAGGATAGATTAATTATTGACCCGGCATTGTTAACCATGGATAAAATAGAGAAAGGATAGAATAGTTATTGACCCGGCATTAGTAACCATGGATAAAATAGAGAAAGGATAGTTTAGTTATTGACCCGGCATGTTAACCATGGATAAAATAGAGAAAGGATAGTTTAGTTATTGACCCGGTATTAGTAACCATGGATAAAATAGAGAAAGGTTAGATTAATTATTGACCCGGCATTAGTAACCATGGATAAAATAGAGAAAGGATAGATTAATTATTGACCCGGTATTAGTAACCTTGGATTAAATAGAAAAAGGTTTATTATTGACCCGGCATTGGTAACCTTGGATAGAATAGAGAAAGGATGGATTAATTATTGACCCGGTATTAGTAACTATGGATAAAATAGAGAAAGGATAGATTAATTATTGACCCGGCATTAGTAACCTTGGATTAAATAGAAAAAGGTTTATTATTGACCCGGCATTGGTAACCTTGGATAAAATAGAGAAAGGATGGATTAATTATTGACCCGGCATTGGTAACTATGGATAAAATAGAGAAAGGTTAGATTAATTATTGACCTGGCATTAGTAACCTTGGATTAAATAGAAAAAGGTTTATTATTGACCCGGCATTGGTAACCTTGGATAAAATAGAGAAAGGATGGATTAATTATTGACCCGGCATTGGTAACCACGGATAAAATAGAGAAAGGATGGATTAATTATTGACCCGGCATTAGTAACTATGGATAAAACAGAGAAAGGATGGATTAATTATTGACCCGGCATTAGTAACCTTGGATAAAATAGAGAAAGGTTAGATTAATTATTGACCCGGCATTATTAACCTTGGATAAAATAGAGAAAGGTTAGATTAATTATTGACCCGGCATTGGTAACCATGGATAAAATAGAGAAAGGTTAGATTAAGTTAGATTATTATGACCCGGCATGTAAAATATGATTTAAAAAGGAAAATTATACTGAAGAGGAGTAAGGAAAATAAAGGAAAATTAAAAAATCTGAAAATCTAAAGTTTAGAATAAAAAGGCTAAAATTGTTTCAGTTTTTGATATTTACTTCAAGTCTCCGATTCTACAAATCAAGGAACCCAGTTCTCCACAGGTGAATCAATCAAACAATGAAACCATAATCAATCAATTAATTAAATATGCAATCAATTAATCAATCAAATATTCAACAATAAATAAATCTGTTTGTACATTTTTTTATTGTAGTTAAATTTTTCTTTGAATTTTTGTTGTTGTAGCACCAAGCGGCTGCGCGAAGACTTGTAGTATTTGTTGCTGATGGTTTACGTGCTCAGAGCTTTTACAAAGCGCGCGCAGCACCCTTTCTTCATCAGGTAAAACACAAACGCGCAGAAGAAGTTTTACTGGCACACTGAAATAAGCAAGGAATTGCGACAGAGACATCAAGACCAAAAAGTCTAACATTCAAAACCTTTCTCCCTTACTAACTTGTAAAAGATTATCATTAGCTATTACAACGGTACCCTTGAAAACCCTATTTGATTAATAATGTGAACAATAACGTCGTTTATCGAGCTTGAAAAGTGTTTAATTATGATAATTCCGACATTTTTTCCTGCAGTAGAAATGCGCAATTCACTTTTGTACAGAACGCACAATTTTAAATAATCAATAGATATCGAAAATACGCCAACAGACTCTTTAGACAAGATTGTTGTCGCTAAGAAACAAGATTCTGACGATGAACAGATAGACAAGGTATAACCCACGAATCAAAATCGATAATGCAGAAAACTCTTTATTTCCTAAAAAAATAATGAAATGAATAATGATAAATAATTATTACAGGGTTTACAAATTTATAATGAAAAGATTCTTACGATCTATTTTCCTATTCGTGGGACTATCTGTCGAAAAGTCCGAAGACGCTTTTTATACATTAAAACTTCTGAAAAGATTGACAATTAAATGTTGATGAAAGTCACTAATTCTTTAAATAGAAATGTTTTTGTTTAACTTTGAAATGGTTCACAATTGATAAACGTTTA